CGGAATAGTTTTAACGAAGATTATTACAAACAAACAGACAAAGTTATAAATCTTGCCTATTTATAATATTAGTAAAGAACTGGAGCCTTTTTACTCTTTTTATGTTAAATCCCATTTCCAGTGATTAATATTACAAATTTAAAGTGTGTTTTTGTCTTGTTGTACGTTGCAACGGAGCTCTGTTATGCTAGGACTTTTTGTGTAAGGTTAGTTGGGAAGCTGAAGACTATGGTTAAAATTGATATCAAAAAATGATTTGGCGGATTAACCATTGGCTAACTTTTTAACTATAGTCAATTTAACAAATGGTTAGATAGCATTAGACTACGGATCAAAAACCGACCCTTAGGCTAGGTAATTAATATCCGTTAAATCTTTCAAAAGTTATGGTGAAAGAGTACATACATTAACCCTAAACACAATACACTTTGGGCAAAAAAATACGTCGCAAACAGTAAAATTTTCATGTACTAATCATCTTATTATAATATATCTTATCTGCTCGTATGGCAATTTAAAATTCCTTTTTTATATAATAATATTTATTCCCTATATAATCTTTATTCCCTTAATTCTTATTTCGTTGATCGTCTTTATGTTTTCTTCTCGCCAACTCTGAAAATATTCATACTCCAAAAACATCATACTACCTTCACATTGTTTCGCTAAATTATGCGATTCATCCGTTTCCTTGAAACTTGAGAAACTTTAGAGCGAACAGTAATGAATCTTAACCCGTGAAGATAAAGATCACTTCGAAGAGAATCTTCGTTGGCTTATTTTGCTGTACTCGTGAATATGCGGATTGTTGCTATGTCACTTTTGTAATGTCAGCCGCCTTTAGCTGATTGTTCTGAAATTTCCCTTCTGTTATGCATCGGGGATTTACCAGCGTTCATTTAGTTACAAACATATATATTTTGACACACTTCTGTTAATGTCAAAATATGAGGTTAATTGTTTTTAAATATTCTGCTTCTCAAATTAAATTTGTACCTTGATTACTTTTGGGGCACAGACCTTCTCTACGAGTGGAATAGAATCTATTTAATAGGGAAAATACACGGTCCAATAGGGATCGGTGGGTGTTAACGATATTTAATGCCAATTTTTAAATATTTATTTAGAATGTGATAATATTCTTAATAAAAATGCTTAAAAATCTAGCTTGTCCCTGGCACTCTGAGATAGGATTCGAACCCAAGAACTTTATAGCAATTCGGGCGACTGTTCTAACCACTACCTAACCCAGGACCAAACAGGACTGACAGAAACACTTGTTTCAAGCACTTGTTACTTTTCCACTACTACAGAGCGTACTTTCATTAATGTTCAGGCAATCCATCCAAACAGCCGACAGAAATATTTTTATTAATATTTAAACTTTCAAAAAAAATGAAAATTTGTTCTAATTATTATATTTGATTAATTTTGCATTCAAAATGCCACACTAAAAAATATTCTCTTAATGAATGCAAAATTGATTAAATATAATAATAAGAATGTAATAATTTGATATTATACGACCTCCGTGGTTGTTTTGTACGCCAATTTACACGTAACCATCTTCGAAGTCCCAGGTTCGGTTCTGGTAGAAATTATTTATTCTATATTGTCTATGGTCTGAATGTTCCTTCGTTGTTTTAGTTTTTCATACTACAAGTGCTACTTAATTTGGGTGCTAAGTGCTATTTAATAGCTAAGTTTTCCTATAAGGTAAACGATGTAGTGCTTTTATTTCATACTTAATAATGTTTTGTGCATTTGGTTCTTTAAAATACCTTTATTTAACGAATAAAAAGTTTGTCCAGTTCGTATAACATGATAAAGTTGTTACATTTTGTTGAATGTTAAACTTATATTTCAATATAATTGATTAAGTGTGGAGTCGAGTCGAGTATTATCTTTATGCAACTCCGGTTGACTGGTAGAAATGTCTAATGCCATTAAGACTGCCACTTGTACTGTGTGCCATAAATTTACATGAATTAGTTTAACTATTTAAAAATACAACATTTTTAAACGATTCCTTTGATAGTTTCGTGTTCATTAGAAGAGAATGAGAACCAACATATGAGTTTAGTAAAACGGAAGGATTCGAAATGTTTAAGAATGTAATATTTTGTAAAAAACGATGAAAAATGAAGAATTTATACGTCATTTTAAGCTAAGCATTAGATCAATTTAATAATCTCAAGGTTAGGTACTCACTTAGAGATCACTTTAAGAAGTATAATATAATCAGTGTAAGAGATCACTTTAAGAAGTATAATTTAATGAGTGTATAACAAAATAATAATGGGCCGTCGTTTTCTTTTATAAGAATACTTACAAAAACAAACTGTTCATACGTAAAAATATCAATTTATTTGCTAAATAAATCAACTTCACGCCGATTATCACGAGACTTTAAGTCTTTATGTCCAATAAAGTGTAACAAAGACATCTATTATAGATGTATATCAATACTAAAATTATAAAGAGGAAAGATGTTCGCTTGCTTTGTTTTAAAAAAATACTGGACTGATTTTAAAAATTGTCTCACCTACGAGAAACTACGTCATACACTATAGGATGACAAGGGCAATAATTTGCGAAGTCGCGAATTGATATTATCATGTACTATGTATGATACTTCCCAAGCATTATTTATCAATTCGATTAAAATATTGTGTAAGAGCTGATCATGGCTGGGTGGCTTGGCATGGCTTCGTGGTTCGGAAGACACGATATCTTAAGCCGTTGATCTCGGCTGTATCTGCGTTAGTTATTAAGCAAATATCACAGTCAAAATATAATAAGGCCTCTATTACATATGACGGTGATTTTTGCTTAAAATGGTCAATTTTGGCGTTCTTCCTATTTGATCCCATTCAACGAAGACATTAATAGGCCGACGGTGACGGTATACATTATTTGCTGGTGAAGCTGCAGGAGAATCCGTCCACTATTAAGTTACCTATTTTTTTATATTAATATTATATTAAGTTTTAAGTTAGTTACGATAGTTGAAAGAAAATGCGCTTTTATCCTCGATCCAATATTCTGTGCTAGTAGTACGAAAATTTATGTTGTAGACTTCGTTGCCTCGCCTATGTTTTTTTTCTAATCTAGAGGAGTGGGACGGAACATGACAAAATTCTCGATAGATATAGCTAAAATTTATATAAGAATACGGCCCTCATTCAAATTTGTACTTAGTGTGGCTCAAATTTTTATATTGATTTTTTGAAAAAAAAAAAAATGGTATTTGTGAAGACGACTTTGATTAGTACCTGATGATTTTTCGTACTTACATTAGAGTTGCAATATTCTAAAATATAAAAAAGCCTCTCTCGGATCTGAATCGGGTCCGATTTTACTTGTCCACGAATGGAAACTTCGATTCGTTCAATCATATCCGTGACGATTATCTGTGCATCAGGCGTAGTGTCAGGCCTAACCTCCGTTGCATCATAAATTATGGAAAAAATATCAATAAAGTCATATTAGCGATATGGAATAAACGAAATTTCGTTTTCGGAGTAATAGAGTAGGTATTTCGTGGGACAGATGGCAACCACACACTTGTGTGTATACAATACATCAAATTGTAACAAAAGTTCTCAACGTTCACTACAGCATTCAACGTAGTCGTAGTATTATAATAGTATTTTGATGGTATTAGACGTCAGCCACAGTGACTTCTGCATTACACTATATTTTTTTCTATAAAAAATATTACACCTGCATTTAGAGGTTATATTAATTTAGTTAAGCGTAAAGGATTCAAATAAAAGATATCATTCGAAAGTTATAGTTTATATTAGATTTATAATAAGATATGTAGTCTACAAAATTTCACAAATTTTCACAACGTTATTTGAACCTAAAGCGTCTACCCATTTTATTATGAAAATAAAATCATCAAAACCACTGGATCTACGAACGGCGGGGGCTGATTTTACGCAACCATTATTTTTTAAAATATAATCTAATAGGCAGTTATTTTATTCACGCATATCTTTACATGAGTAAGTCAAAAACTAATAACGGTAAAAAAATAAAAAAATATCAATCCATAAAACCAGCCCCCCGTCAAATCAACACAACAACGTCGTCCCATACATAATATACAATAATATTTATTATCGTTATATTTAACTAGAGTTATACAGAATAATGATTCCTATGAAATATAATTATGCATTCTTTAAATTTATTCAATATAATAATAATAATAATACTTAATAAGTATCAAATAGGTAATGGTTAGTCAATGTCGTGCTACAGACTACTATAGTAATATAATAATGAATGAGTCATATTATTTCTTTATCATTTAATCAGTTATTTATTATTATTTAAATTTATTTATTATTACTCGATATCATAACCAGTAAACGAACATACAGCAGCCTCGGCCCGATGACGGGCGCACATAATCACAAAAAAACATCGTCAACACATAAAATAATAATCAATAATAATAATCATACAGATAAAAATCATCCATAAAAACATTACAATAAAAATCTAAACATTAAAACACGCTTAAAACAAACATTATATTAATATTATTATAATCATAGTGTACGTACGTATAAGCGAATAATCGTATAGTCAAAATAATGTGAGCATGGCGCGCGGGGGGAGCGGGGCGGGCGGCCGCTCGGCGCTCGCACTCCTTCCTATAATAATATTACCTATGCGACGCAGCGCGGCGCGGCGCGATCCAGCGCGGCGCTACACACAACCAACTCATTACCTATAAACAACACATTAGCTAGGCGCGATCAACTCGCGCGCACTCACTTCACTACACTACTCTAGCTAGACTCTGAACAGACAACAGGCCGCGCGTGCCGCTCCCCGCGCCGCCCGTCCCTCGCCTATTATATTATATAATAATATCTTAATACTTTACGCTATTACGTTAGGTAAGCTTTATAAATTTTCGATTTCTCATTTATGCTATCAATAATAATTATACAACTTTTTTTAAATTTTATGTTTTTTTTCGAAATTCTATCGTAACGTACTTCGACTCTCTCTGTGGCGGCGAGCGCACGCTGCGCTCGACGACCTAATAAAAAACGTTCATAATAAGAAAATATATCGAGAACAACTCTGCCGACTTACGATAGGTACGGCGCGGCGGACGGGCCGTGCCGGCGGGGCGCCGACTTTTGGCACCAGGATTTCGTTTACGCAATTTTTATTCTTTTAATATTTTTATAACGATTCGAGTAAAAAAGACCGATCCCTAGCGGGCGAGTGTGCGGCTCGTGGCGGCTCGCGGCGTCGTTGGCGCTTACGAGATGATGCGGATCGCTGTGTGCGCGGGCGCTGAGCAGGCGGGGCATGGCGCGCCACCCGCCGCCAGCCGCTGCGCACATTCTAGGCAGAACAGGTTGTGGCCGCACGGCACCAGCGCCGCTGCGACTCCACGCTCGCCGCACACTAGACACGCGCGCGCTGGCGACGCAGCCGGCGATGGCCGAGTCGGACCCCAACCCCAAACGCCCGCAGCGCCCCCTGGAGATTCAAACGATGGTGACTCCCCTAAGCCTTCGTCGCGCTCCGTAGACGACCAAATCCCGAGTAAATCGCCTAGTCTCGCCGAAGACCCGCCTGACGAGCAGGAGCCGGCCGACGAGAAAGTCGCTTCCTGCTCGGGTCGCAGCAAAGATGCGATACCGGCACGGTAAAGCTGCGCGAGTGGTTCACTGTCGGTTGGCGCGGCAGTGGCACCACCGGCGGCTCCAGTGCGTAGGGCGATGTGTGCTTCGATTTCCTTGCGGGCCGCTTCTACGCTCTCAGGTAAACCGGTGACTTCGAATACAGGTTCGCGTTCTCGGGATGGCGTCACGATGTATGTGTGTGTCGTGTGTTGGATACGCTTTATGGTGGCGCCTTTGGGTCCGACTACGAGGCCGACGACGCGGTAAGGCACGCGCACTTGTGCGGTGACATGCCCGGGCGCCCCGGCAGGTGGAGGAGGCGCCGCTCCACATTTGCGCGATGCGCGTATTTGAGAGAAGTGTTCCGCCGCTGACAGGATTTCACGTTTTGCTCGCGCCACATCCTCTTTGCGGCCGGTCACCACGAACACAGGTTCTTCACCACGCACCGGCGTCTTTATGTATGTGTTAGTTTTTGCTCTTAGAGCTTTGATTTTGCAACCTGAAACAAAAGAAAAATATTTAAGTTAAATTTATAAAAATGCAATTATAAGTAGGGTAAAATGAGCATTGGTGTCCAACATGACATTTTTTAAAGTCAAGGTTGTGTGGAAAGGCATATTCGTTACGGTTTTATCCAAAATTTGAAGGACATTTACTATGTACACTTGGGCACTATAAAGTCGACGCGTTCTGTTTCCTGGCATCAATGTGGCCCCGCGAGACGCCCCCACCCCTTGAGGCCAGACGGGTGGTATGATCCGTCAATCGGCGTCGGGACGCCGTTCGGGGCACTTGGGTCTGCCTGCTTACGTTGGCGACACAACTATTTCGATATGCATGGGACAGCTTTTTAATCGTATTATATATAACTGATGAAAATAAACAGTGTCATTAAAATTACGGTGATTAATTTGTAACTATGATGGCCTCTGGTAAGTAGCCTGGCCCTCTGCGGTTTTCCTGCTTGTTTTGGCGCGTGGTGGACCAAATCACCCCTTCCCTCTCTACCGTCCCTAATGCGGCAAACCATCGCAGCGTTGAAAACCAGCATTCCAACGTTAGCGGAATGTATAGTGTATTGTAAGTCGTATATTTATGGGTTCAACGGACAAATTGTGGTCCTTCATCTTAACATTTAAAAGTCAGTAACAAAAAAGAGGAAAGTCCATGCAAAAGAACGGGTTTGAATAGCTATATTATGAAAACATAAATGAAATCCAACATGGATGTATCTAAAACAAATAATAGGCCTGATAAACTAAGTAAGAATCATGGATCATAATAATTGGATAATTCTGGACGCACAGGTGATTCCTTGAATACTCAAAAGTATGCTTGCAGGGAAACCTTTACAGTTCTTCCAAGATTATTTATGGGCACAATAAAATATAAAACAAAAAGTGCTCAGTAGTCATTAAAATAATAGGAGCAATTCATTAAAGTCGAGTATAATGTTCACCGCAAAAGGTGGAATAATATAGGGTACTTTGTGAATAATAGGTATAAGAATCTGAACTTTCACCTGTGGCAAAAATAACCTAATTAACCTTAACTTTAAACTTACAGCCCTACCATATTTAAAGGTCCAACCTCAAACATCCATTTAAGTAAAATTAGGTGAAAGGTATTGCAATTTAAGTAAAGAAGGGTTAGGGAATAAAATGGTGTGACGTTTAATCTTGATTTAGAATTTCGATCACTGTTGTGCCTGCGAAATACATATAATTACATGAAGGATATTTTATAATTGCTTGTATAACTACAGACAGACACGATTATTTAGTAATGAATGCTTGAGTTACTATTTAGTACCATAAAAAAATAGTGTAGGTATCTGATTTTAACGATATGCCTCGAATAGTAATAAGTGTAATAATCTATATCTATACATAGCATAAAACAAAAAAAAACTATCTGTGTAAAAGTAAGTAATATATAAAGGCTTATGAATGCGCCTATTTCATCATCATAAGGTAGAATAATAATTATTTTTTGTGCAGCCATTAGTGGCTTAACAATTTTTTTTTTTAATTTTAATACATATTTTACACTATAGACGCTGACTTTTGATGTTCTTTTTATTCAGATTTGCTGAGCTGGAGTAGCGTAATACAAACATTGAACTATTAACTACTAGCTAGATGGGTTTGTTTTCTAAATCTTTAGACTTATTTTACAAAATTACTTTATTGTCCTCTCAAACAGTAAATTTGTAGTGTATTTTTTTGCGGAGCATGCCGTCCATCCGGCCGAAGAGGCTCCGTTGACTTTGCACACGGCTGGCGGTCTGCCAATTCTGCATCACCCGCGCCGCTCGCCGCCGCTCTAATAACTGCGGTTGCTGACGTTACTCATACTACTTTACGTACAATTATGACGAGAATTATAGCATTCTACAACAATTCTATTCTCATTTAATGGAGTCAACATTATACCGAACTTTAAAGCTATTACTGATAAAACAGTGAATATTTTTTTCATATTAAGAGATGAATTTAAAAATATATATTACTTTAAATTTTAATAAGTTTTTGTGCTATTATAAATAAAAGTTATTTCATGGTTATGCTGTCCAGACATATTAAAGGGGTTCTAACTACATTCGTAGGCATCGCAGCATAACGTAACTGGACTACGTTTCCGCATAAGCCGCCGTAGATACGAGACTACGCGCTACGGGCAGTGCACTCTACGACGCGGCGTAGCAACCGGGTCAGCCCCCTCTTTTTACCCCCGCCGCTTCGTTCTGGCTTTGTTAGTATACGCTGAATTTTCTTCGACTCTTATATTTTTTAATGAACAGACTACTTAATATTTCTTTTATATGCTGCTTGTTTATATTAAAAATCCGCAATGAATAAGGATTGATAATGGGCTATTCTTTTGGCACAAACTATTTAGTTTTATTCCTGCCAAACTATTTTAAATTCTGTAAACCACAATTATTAACAGATGTTCACCTTATATTATTCATAATATTATAGTAAATAGGAGAAAAATTATATTTCTTAATATACGTAAGTGTTACAACAGAATAATATAAACTATTTTTTTTTGTTTAGACAGTAACACAACTTTGGCAATACTGCATCAGCTTAAAATTTAAGCTACGTTAATTCATAATTTTCAAGTTTTTGTGGAAAAGAAAAGTCACGATTACGGAAAAAGAATTGTGTGTTTCCGTTTAAAAATGGTTGAACTATTTTGTATTACTTGAGTTCGTTACATTCATAAAACAATAAAACTTTAGCCAGAAAAGTATAAATAATTGTTAACATTTTTATTGTGACGTCAATCAATAAAATCAACGTCAAGTCCTTGAGGGTTCAAGGAATTCTAAAATCTCAAGATTTATCCGACTAAGAATTTTATAAAAAAGAAAATAAAAATGATAAGTTAAATGTTTATGAAATAATATTATTTATTTCTAACTTTGATAGACTAAAATCTAGCCTTTTGTACATAATTACATAATTCAAAATTGGGAATTATCTAGCCGTTAGACAGTTCCCTCTTTAATACTTGCCGTTAATACGTGCCGTTTACATACGTGAATCAAATTATTTCGAAATGGAAAAATATTATTTATCATAACATTGCTTAGTTTGAAGTTGTAAATGGGGCAGCAGAATGACCTATATTTGATTCGCATTCATTATTAATATACAATTTAATTTACTTCGGTTCAAATTGAGAATTATTTTTTTGAATATTAACTAAATGTATATATTTCTGGCTTTTATTTTATTGGCTCTAAATAGCCTCAAACTATGAATATTTGTCACGATCCATAATCTGAATGGTCTGCTTTGAATCAAACTTTATTTCATTGCAATATGGGTGAGAATTTAGTGATTTATAGTAAGATAGACATTGACAAGGGTTGGGACGTGGCTAATTTACTTTGTCTTGGAGAATTTATCATAAATTAACTTAGTAACGTACAAAATGCACTGTGCCGACGGAAAAGAAGCTTTAGTGATCGATCTTAGAATTGTTTCTGAGGAATTATTATTATACCAATGTAATGAGTTTTTTATACCTAGTCTGAATAATAAGTTTTTAAATCAAACTTTGAAATTCGAAGACGTAAATACATGTGCTATCGAAAATTTAAACCAACTCTCACCTAATATTAAATTTAGGTCAAGTAAGTCATGTTATACTTGGGTAGGGAAAACAGCGAAAAGCGAAGTCATCCTGAATAATGAAGAAGACAAAGCGACACTGTCCTGCTCGCACCTAACGCCGCCTCTCAGTCTCCGACTGTTTACTTTGATTAATCGATTTTGATACTTTTCACCGACCGACCCTTGTATATATTTCACAGAATTAGATTTTTTATTTCATACAGTATTCAGAGAAATGTTTAGTTTAGGTTTTAACAAAATTTAATGTTTGATCGAATCAAAGGCATATTAACAATTAATACTTTTATACACTTGTAAACGAGATATGTCATGATATTTCAAGGTCGATCGAGAATTTGTACGAGAAGCAATACAACAATTTTTAGTTTATACGGTTTCATTAAATATTTCAATTAAACATTTACAATTAATTTCAGATAACGAATATTTATATCACGTCAAAAAGCAGCCTGAAATGCTGTACATAACTGCAAATTGCAATTATGGAAGAAAAAAGTTTTCTCTAGTAGTTCCTGGAGTTTCTTTCTTAAATATTACGGAGAGAAAGTAGGAGGGGTATCACAGCGATCTGTGGCGAAGTCGGTGTTTGACTAGTGACTAGTCACTACGCAGACATAAATCACAGGAGGTCGCCATAACAACTGGCAGGCTTGCAGGGAGGCCGGCCTCGCTACGTCTCCCCAGAGCGAGTCGACTTGTTTTCCTGCGCACCCTACGCTACAGCTGTTTTCCTATACAATGCTATAGACGAGTTTCCTGCTCATAATGGATGCCCGGGAACGCGTTTTCATCTATCCTGCTTACTGATTCTATGTAACATAAATAATTTTCCCATGTCAACGTTGTCGGTGTAACTATATTCTTATCTTAACATTTCTGGCTATATGATAGATGACTTTTTCAAATGAGGATGGATAAAAATGGTAAAGAAAATCTTAGTCGTCCGTAATATGTTTACACCATTTCCACATAGAATTTTGGAACAGGGCCAACGATGACGCATAACCGGTCCGATGAACGTTCAAAGAACCACAGTGAACTCTGAGCAATAATTGTCAACACTTACGTGGATCGAGCGAATGGCTCTGACAACAACACGTGGCCAATACAAATGATCGATGTTTGAACTACCTGCGATACATTTGATTTGGTTAATCAGCTGATTAGCCCCGACAAATTTACTTCACGTTAAAACATAGGCTTTTGAGTGAACGCAAAAGAATGCATAAAAACTAGTTAAGTTTTGGTAATTCCGAAGTTTGATATACGATAATGTTGGATGGTGAGATGACCAATGTCGCATGCGGAAAGAGTTTCCTTAGGCGCACCGCGTGTGTGCGGGGTGAGG